CATTTGGAAGGTAAACTATTCAAAATAATGCGGCGGTGTGTGAAATAGGACAGGCACCATTGACCTCACAGAGACCTTGTAGCAGTTTTCTCCCGCTTTTACTGTGACGATATCGCTGGCCCATCTGCCAGCGGGCCTCATGACTTGATCACATTACAATTTTGTTGTTTCAATTTTAGGAAAACGCTGGTGGAAATACATTGCAGTTATGAATATGTATTGTGTATTGTAATGTGAATTATATGACCGATACATCAATCTATCAGTCATATCATGTTAATGGTAATATAATTAAGTGAGAAATTCATAGCGCTACTGTAGTTTCAAACATGTTGTATCGAGACTTATGGACAATCTTAGCTTTTAGTTTAGTCTTCACTCGATGTGATGTTTCTTCAGAAGACAGCAGCCGCAACACTCCAAACCGCCAGCTTGATGATTTACTTGAGTGAGGCTACAGTGTTCAGGATGGGAAACCAGATGCACTTAACAGAATGCTGTTTCTGTGCTAGCGCATTAACCCCTTTGGCTGATCACACATATAGTCCTCGCCGAGCCAGTTATAGGCACAACCAACCATAAAGTGCAATAAACTCACAAAAATGTTTTGATCAAATTATTGTTTTTATTACTATTAGAAATTACACAGCATTCCTTTTAATTGAATATCCTGTTCATACGAGCAGATTGGCTCATTGCAAACTTAATGTCGGTAACTATTATATATGCTCTGCTGCTGCATTCTTCACATGATCGGTGAATCGGAAACTTCACATGTTCTGCAAGACCATGTTTAACCCCCACCCTAACTCCTCCTAAAACCCCCAAAACACTCATTCTCTTTCTATCTTTCTCCATCTCTTTCATCTCCCCCCCCCGATGTCAAGGCTTGCTTTGAGTTTGAGGTTAAAGATTAGCACCTCAGATAAAGATTAACTCTTCGTCAATGGAAGGTGCTGATGGGTTGAATATCCGACCCGGGATTGTTGGCGAGTTGTGCGCTTGCCTACAGCAAAAGTAGTTTGAAATTCATGGTGGTAAACAGATTGCTCATTCTAAGGTGCAATAGAAACATCCTTGGAGTGGAAAATGCAACTTGGGTCACCATCTGAGTTGAGGAGTTGTTTTACTTCATCTAAAATGAGTTGAAATGATTCAATATGCAAAAATGTAGTTGGTGACACATGGGGCTCTATTTCCATAGACGGTGTATGTGTAAATGTTGGCTTGCTGTGGCGCTTTGCCAATTTGGCAGAAAACTGTGCGCCATGCTGGGTGCAAAGATATGTCTTCAAAAATTAAGTCGACGAGATACGCCTACATTGGACCGAGTCTCAATAATGGCAAAGGTAGTTTAACGAGGTTTTGGTGAATTTGATTGGGGCACAGGCAGACAGATTCTAAGGTCCATGGACATGTGGTTGTCAGGCGTATTTCATTCATGAACAAGCAGGTATCAAAACTGACAAATCAATGTCAAATCAATTCACTGAACACATTATTATTATTCGGTACCTGCTTACGTTGTCTGCAGTGACACCGGCTAAGAGCGCTGACAATGCGCTTGCCACGCACATATTGTAGCATCCTTTTCCGCACTCTGTGTGCAAGTTGAGAGTGTGCCACATGTAAAGAGAATGTGAGGAGCCCCTTTGATTGGTGGGGAATGAGGCCAGCTATTGTCAGGCCCACAAAAAAAAAAGAAAAGAAAAAAAACTCATCTTGCTAACATCACATGAACCGTGATTGCTTCTTACCGGAACCCTGAGCACGTGTGATGTCATTATCAGTTGACAGCAAGTGGCAAAACGCATTTTAAAGGTGTTAAATGTACATGAAAAATAATGGGGTTATCACTTTCATTATAGACAAAATAATAACTTTTTACTTCTGAAAATGGCTAAGTAAATTAAGTATACCTTTAATTGAGCTGTTTTGTGCAAGTATGCTAAATGGCCAACACTTGGTCTGACATGCCTCAGGGCAGATTTACACTGCACCGTGCTAGATTTGCGCCTGTCACAAAAATAGCCTTAGTTTTTTGCTAAACATGTGCGAATGCCATATTCTAGACGACTAGGAAGGAGTAAATACGTAACATGGAACTTCTGAGTAAAAACATTGCTCAAGACTGTGACAAACGTGTTTAGCATTAGTGGGGTATATTATGTGTTTGAAGATGCTGAGCATGTATCTGCTGAAAGCAAAAGTTTTTTTTTTGTTGGTCCCTTCATTCACTTTGAGGTTTGACCAAATTATGCCATTTAGTCTGTTTGGCTTTAACAATTGAACTTCACAAGTTCCCTTGGATTACGTACCAATAACCCAAAATTATAGTAGGCTAAACATAATCTTTTAATGCGTGTTTGCATCCACAATGGGCACTGCCATTGTTGTGTGACGTGAAATTTATCTCGGTGAAGTCGAGTCTGAAAGATGACATTTTCTCAAACACGCTTCAATTCACGTGCTGATTTTTCAAGTTGCCTGTCATGTGTTGCCATACAATTTGCATTTGTTATGACACAAGTTTCCTGATCAGTAGTCTCATAGCTACATCCCACATTAGATTTTGTAACAGCATAATTTCACAAAATGTGTATATATTTCGAGATAGAAATTTATCAGAATGATGTGTCTCTATTAATCACAAACAGCAGGTATCAAGTAATGGAAAGATTGGAATAGCATACTAATGCAAGAGCAACAAACTATACAGCTTTGAGTTACAACCAAAAATGTAGTGGAGCAAACTGACAGAAGGAGTGATGTGAAAGCAGTGTTGAAATTTGCGCTTTTGTGTCATCTGCCTGCAGGAGGAAGAAGGAAGGAGATAGAAATGTATCACAATGCGAGGCTTGTCGTCGCTTCCCATTTAGTGTGTCAGTGTGTCTAGTCAGAGTGATGCTGCATGACTGTTCAACCTCATTAAACTTGAACAAAATTTTCAAATGGACTTGATGAGAAATGTTGCTTTGGAGGAGGAAGTGTATACACTGACTTAACTTGTGGTCGCTTAATAAATAGTTATCGGTAGCCCAATATAATTATGTCAAGGTGGATCATTACGTCTTTTTCAAATGTAATAAAAAATATAGGAAATTAAAGGAAGGCTTTTTTTATTTACTATTAATGCTAGTAATTAATTCGTTTAGGTTGGAGAAACACATCAGAGCTGAAAAATACACCAATATAATGATATATTTCCCTTTTACGAAAACATTTTCAACATACGAGTAGTTTAGGATGGGTCCAACTAACGCATGCACGTATGCAAACTAACTGCTGGACAATCGACACAAATTGGGCAACGAAGAGGACACGCACGCACAAAAAAGCCATAAAGCATGGCAAGCATTTCCAAGTGGTCGACCAGATATACGGCTTCATTCTTTCAGGGTTGACGTTACATGCTGCGTGTGTATATCATTGTGCAACCCGATACGTCCTGCGATAGTTATCTAGTGACGTGTTTAATGAACATGGCGGGTAGTTATTTTTAAATCGCTTTTAAAGTTATTTAATGTCCATAAAAAAAAGAATGAGATTATCGAATTAATTATACGCAAAAAATTAACTTTTAACAAATACCGCAAATGGCGTACATAGGGGAAGTATCCCTTTTTCGGGAAATAATTAAATCCAGTCAAGCTATTCGATAAAACAACAACTCCTTCAATCGTTCAATATTTCGTGCTACGGGAAAAATGTGATTACACAACATACCGGATCGGTTTTAGATAGAACGTACATAGGAAAAGCTTGCTGGAAAAATAAAATGACGCCAGATTAGCTATAAAAGTTGCTAAACAGTTACTTTACGAATAACATCTATTCAAATGTGTTTTTTTGAACAGGCATACAAAAGCCTTGGTGCCCTATTCTGCTTAAATGTTGGCTCATCAGCTATTCCGTGATTGCGGAGGCGGCCTCCTTATATCCTTTGTCTCGGCCTACATGCTGGCTAGCTAAGGTAGTCGGGTCTCCATCATTCTCTGGACAACTTTTGACTTCTCCACTCGCACATGCGGCTCGCTTCGTGTCTCCAAGTCTGTGTCGTACCAGAAGGGCTAAGTGTGGGGACACACTGTGAGGAAAGCTCGGCTGATGATGCGATGGAGATGGACGACAGCCAGAGCTGTGCGTGAGTGCACGGGCGGAAACAATAAATAACTTTTAGGTGGAGGTAGGGACTTGCAGAAGTGGTTATAGAGTGGTGCTGGTACCATGAAGGTAGGAAAAGCCTCGCTTTTGATTTATCACTTTTGGAAACAATGTCAGCAGCCAAATTCCAGGCGGATCGGAACCGTCATTTTATCCCATCACTTACATTTGCAATGCAAAATCACAGCGTAGACAATCCTGTACAAATAATAAACATTCGTACAAAATTAACACCAAAATGATCGATTTTCACCGAGTTGGACCACCACGAGGCGTTACAAAAACGAGGAGAACGTAAATTTGCCCGCTCGTTTATGCCTCGAGCCCCAAGAATGGTGACGTTATTTATGGCCTCTGTGGATGCGTATCTGCTTGGAAGCAGCTGGACCACCCTGCCCGAAGCTGATATCTCCACATCAAAGACGGCTGTTGGTTAGAAAGGCTGACTGGGATTGAGAAATAATTCTAAATCACTGTTGTTATTATTTTATTTTTATTTATTTATTTTTCCAATATAGAATGTTTTGACAAAACGAATTGAAATATATATATATATATAACATGCATTTTCGAGGAGACATTTTTAAACATGCGTCATTTGTTTCATGTAATTAATACAACGTTCACAATCAATAAAGTCCACTTCAGTACTGAGTGCAGCAATATGTGCTCATGTTGCTTCGTTCCGGGATATGACAGTGGGCAATCGTTTAAGGTCAGGATATCTGTCCATTAGAGTACGCAAGGTTTTTGTTCTCTATTGGATTTGCAAGACCTTATGATGCCATATTTTTCCCCCCTTCCTCTATTTCGCCATTCTCTGCCTCCAACACCAGGAGATCTTAGGAGATTTGTGGAGGCTGCCCTTTTCCATCGACACACCAGGACATAGAAGAAACTCTCTCGGTGAGTTTCACGCTGTATTTTTATCTTTTTTTTTCTCAAAGTTCATCACTTGGGACTATAAATGTGTGCGTGTATGTGAGCCATAAGTGATTCGGAGAGAGATTTCGATTTGCGGGATGACTGGATGTTGAAAATGGAAAAAAAAAAAAAAAATCAAATGTAAATATGTCTTTTTTAATTTATTCATATATATATATATATATATATATATATATATGTTAAAGCGACTTCAGACATTAATAGCTCCCAATTGCAAGATATGATTTATGTAAATATAGAAACTATGAAATAAGTAATATAATACAGTACATAAAGATATCCAGATTCAATGTTTGCATTCGTACATTCAAAGAGGTTAAATTTTATAATGGCTTGTGCGGATACATAAGCGTGACATAAATACAACAGGAAACAAGCGAGCTCGTGTGTACATCAGTTGACTAATAAAACAGACCCTTGTAACCACTGTAAAAGCATGAATTGTATTCCAGCAGTAACCGACATGAAAAATGACGTTTCAGCACTGGGATCATAACTTCACTCAAATAGGAACTCAATAAACTATTATTGTGCTATAGCAAGCCAAATTTGAACGGGGTATTTTGGCATTTATAGCCCTTTCAATCGATGTACATTCAAAAGTTTTTAAAATCACATCTCGATGCATCTCCTTGTGTGAGGTCTTGAGAGAAAAAAAAACAATCCTTAGGCAATCTGAAATGTTGGATCCGCCTCTCTAACATTGCATTATCCAAGAAAAATACAAAAATCAAGCGCCATTCTTCGCAATCAGTGGTGCGACTTCACAATGGCGCGCAAGTAAATCCCCTCGGGGTGCACGTCTCTCCCCCACGCTGTTGCGCGTTGTAGAAAAAAAAAACGCTGATTATACGTTTGGTTAATGAGTAACGTGGTCTTAGCAGATCCCTGACACAAAAGACTGCGTTGAATAAAAACGTTGCAGACTTGCACATTTTCGGCTCCCACCTTTTTTCACCTACACGGAGCTCATCCTCACTTTTTAACAGCCAACAACGAATGTGATCTGCTTTTAACTCGCTCTACATTTACACACGCACGCGCAAGCGAGAGATCTCATAAATCTTACGTTAGTCCAAACGCCCTGCATGATAAAAAAGAGAGCGAGAGGGAGCGATAGAGAGCGCGAGAGAGAGGGGGAGAGAAAGACAGAGAGAGAGAGAGAGAGAGAGAGAGAGAGGGGAATTGAAAAGAAACCACGTAGTGGAGTCTGAGGCTGAGCAGACTGTGAGATTCTCTTAGCAGCGAATGCTAACTGCTATATTCTGTAGCAAGGTGTGGTTGTCCTTATTTTTGAACTCATTCGTTTTGGCGCTGTTATCTTTGAAATTTGATTCAAAACTTTGTCCACACTTTTACTAATTGTACTGTAGAAGAGGATATTGTGCCCACTCACTGATGGCCTGAATGTGAGTGTAAACGTTTGTTTGCCTCTATATATGTGCCGTGTGTGTACTGGCGACCAATCCCGGGTGTAGTCTTTTCTTCCAATGTCAATTGGGATCGGTTCCATCTCCACACGATCCTGAACATATTCAGCATTATAGAAAATGGATAGATGGATAAAGAGGTGGATGGACGAACGATGGGACGGGTGGACGGATGGACAAACGGATTATAAACATTGAATATTAGAAATGAAAATGAATGAAGTGCACACTCTCCAAAAGTGCGAGAGGAAGAGTGTTCCTGTAAACCCTCGAGTGCTTTTTTTATTGCTTCCAAGTCACCAAACACGAGCAAATAAATCACCACAAACAACTTCACAATAACCACAGCTACATTCCAATGTCACGTGATTGCTCAAACCAAAACATAGATAATACCACACAACATTAAGGCCATTTGTGATTCAATACACACACTGTATCTCAAAATTCGGATTTGCAGTAGTTTCCAGTGGCATACAACATACGATTAATTTATTAGTAACTTTGCCTGTACGTGTGCATACAACAACCAAAAAGTCACATTCAATGTCAATCAAAACGGACTGTCATTATCCCGATTTAAGGAGAAGTCAAGTCATTTTTTAAACTACGTTCTATGCACCCCAGCTAGTCTTAAACGCCACATCCCGATTAAACTTAATATTGCGTTTGTGGAATGAAGACGACACCCCCTTTCTGAGTTTGGTGACGTGGCTTTTACTGAGCCATGATTGGTTGTTACTTCTGATGCCGTGAACTGTGATGTCATTTTCAGTCAAAAGCAAGTGTCAAAATGGCCGCCCCCTTAGATAACTAAAACAGGTGGATTTTGCCGCTTAATTCATATTCCATAGCACATTAATAATCACAATACCGTGTTTGGATTGGGGCCACGTAAAACGTCAAGGTTTTTTGACTCGATTTCCCCTGCAAGGATGCGCTAGCCCTTATAGCAACCATTTGTGTACAATAAATGGATATGGATGCTCAGCAACACAAGTGTAGTGTGTAAATGTCATTTTCTCAGCGTATGTAGATGTTGCGTCATATGGCGTAAGTATGCCATTGATTCGTTATTTTGACTATTTGCTAGAAAAAAAGTAAAAAGAAATTCAGATAATACATCAATTCAAATGACGGTTGAAATGCGATAATATGGCAGTTGGACGACAGCTCATGCGTGTCTTAAACGTATTTAATTAGATGGCGTTATTCTATAGCATGACTAACTGCGTAGATTTTAAAAAGATGAACGCGTTCCTAATTCTTTGTTTCCCCAACAAATGCCTTTGTTGCATTCACAGACCAGTTTAAAAAAGGCGTTGTGCAAACAATCTTTACCCGCAAGCAATATTTTTTAAATTAATATTCAGAGAAGTAATTATTACCGCTGAATGTTTATTCATTCGAGCCTTAAAGTTGCGTGTCCACGTGGTATTGTCACGGGATGCGAAATCTGTCGTCGTTCTTGTAACCAGATGAAATGACATGATATTTTGCGAGGGTATGAATTCACATTTTGTTTGAGCGAAGTTGATCTATACGGTGGGGACTTGGAGATATACCATGCATATTCATAGATTGATCTCAGAAATACGCGCTCCTAACCGAGGGTCAACAAAAATATATTGATAACTTAATGGGGTAAATAACCACTATAGCGCGATCCTAGCCTTTTTCTGTAAGCGTCAATCTGGAGCACAGATCCAAGATCTTCGTGTAGTGAGATATGGAGGATACAGAAGAAAGAAAGCCAGACGACGACGAAAAATCATGATAGATGAATCATTAACGGTCTCCTAATTTGTGTTGCTCTGGGACTATCTGTGTTGGGAGGTCCGATGCGCGATACATACTGAAAAAGAAAGACATTTGAAGCCATTGTTATCAACCAGCAGCGGTGCAAGCAGGCAGGCAGGCAGGCTGGTAGTGGAGTGGAGGGGAGGCAGCAGGCGAGCTCCCGGTAAGATCGTTCAGCTTGTGAGCTAGCTATAGCCTGTCGGGAGGCTATCAGACCCCGTCCGCATATTCCACCTGTATACCGACCCCCTTCCATCACGGAAGTCTTGAATTTGTCCACCTCTCTCATCCGCTACCCGTTCATGTCACACGGCGTCCGCCTTGCCGCCGTCCGCGGCCGCTGGCGCCAGGAGGTGGTGGTGGTGCTGTGGCGGCGGTGGTGGCGGCTGCAAACAGACGCCCGCTAGGCGAGAAAACATAGCGGCAGCCTGCGCAGAAAATACAGGAGGACCGGGAAACGCCAGGATTCTTCCTTCATTTCATTATTTTTAAATGATTAATGAGATGTCTCAGTGACGACTCACCTGCGATGCGATCTTGCTGGGTCCTGTCGAGATTGTACCGGGACCGCCGGTGCTAATAAAGGTAAGCATGCCCCCACCAGCGGGCAGGCCAGGCGCTAATGCACGAGCTTGAACAACAGAACAGAAGAAATATCATGTGTTTACGCATCGTGCAGTTTTGGGGCTGGCTCGTTATTTATGACTCGCGTGACTTCCAATGCTGGTTCAACAAGAGTTCACTATGCTTTAAAGTTCACTATGCTTTAAACTGTCTAATAGAGCACCCTCCCCCTCACCTCCGACCCCCTCCCCTCCACCTTATTCGGCATGCCCTTTCGTTCTCTTTTTCCTATTTATCATCCATTCCCTGACTTCATGCGACGTTATTTATTTATCTATTTATTTATTGCTTTGTTTATTTATGTTAAAGAAATAAACAAAAGCTGACACTTTCGATTCATATAACGTCTCTTCTTTTTTTCAAGGTTCCTCGTGATTTATTTATCCATCAATTTATTTATTTATGTATTTATTTGTGCTTGCTTGGGTGTTCCCCCCAAAATGTGTTTCTTTTAACTGTGATTTACGGCACGTCAATAGCATACACCACATGACCACAACACCGATCGGCGTGTTGTTTACGTACGAAATAGAGTTACCCCCGTTTTTGTAATATTTTATACGCATTTCCTATTGTTAAAAATATATATATATCGGATTCCTGTCTCCCAGCTGGCACGATGCGTCACGGCAGGCGCCATTTGTAATTTTATATCACAGGATGAAGCAGTCACTGGAAACCAAGGGCCGACCTCTCCCTCCGTTTCTCTCTCTCTTGTTTTTGTTGGGGTGCCTGTCTCACTTGGAGTGCATTATTCGGAGGAGACGTCGAAGAAAGTTGTTTATTGTAAGAAGCTGTAGCCCTTACAAGCCACGGGGGCAGACATTACGTGGCCTGTTTTAATCGCGAAACAGCTATGATTCAATAACCTAATCCTCCTACCCTCACTGCCATGGTCTCGCTCTCTTCTTTTTTCTCCTCTAGTTTGCTTGCGACTATTCCTCAGAGTAAGTAATTAGGATTCCAGCTTGTCTAGCGGAAGATAAATGGCTGACATGTGTGACGTGCTGAGAGCTGGAGTGGAGCTGGACTGTGTCATCTCCGAGAAATAAAAAACATAAAAATAATGATAATTTCAAAACATGTGTGAGGTTTAAACATGTGGGAAAACGCATTCCTTAATTTAGTTTGATTATGTTCCACATAATTTTGTATTCTAGGTAGATAAAGATTACTTCCCTCTTTGTTTCTTAGTTTAAATATAGGCAATTTATTTAAATCCGAATTATTTACTGTACGTTTTTTTTTGGACAGAAAATGTGTCACGTGCCAAAACGAATGGCTATTAGCAACAGAGCCATTGTTATGAAACATGACTCGCATTTGAAGCATAATACATGCGGTTTCTCTATTATTCCGTGAGAAGAAAGACGAGCATCCTTAAAATACTTCCGTCCGTTAAAATGTTAAGGTCCAGGGGCGGAACAAATGCCAGGTGTTCTCACATGTTATCTATCTATCTATCTATCTATCTATCTATCTATCTATCTATCTATCTATCTATCAATGAATGCATGACCACATTTACTTTCAGTTTTGTTTAAGTGTGACAATGACAGCCTTTAAATTAGCAACAACCAGCCAAGAGTCAAGCCTCAAATCTAATACTACACTGACAGAAATGGCTACCTGCATTAGTCACCTTAAAACACAGCCTACAGAGTGACCAATTTCCCTCAGATGTTTCAAAAAAATGTCTCGGTCATTATGACTGACAACAGAGATGCTGGGATATACCTTACTTAAAACACATACACATGCGCACGCACGCACGCACAACTGTATTTGCAAACACTGAAACAGTGCAAGGAAATGCGTCTATAGCAAATAATTTGTCTCATATTAGGTGATAAAAAACACAGGGATTGTTTATTTGAATGTAACAGCTAATTATGCAATTATTAGTTTTCATGTACTTGCTAATGTTATTACAATATTATTTCACAAACACTGTACTCCATTTTCCTCCTTGCGCATTCATTACTGCCACCCTGTTTTGAACTTTTAGTCGCAGCCTACATACAGTACGTGTGTGGATGTCTTTCTTTGACGTGTGTGCGTGTGTGTGTGTGTGTGTGTGCGTGTGTGTGTGTGTGTGTGTGTGTGTGTGTGTGTGTGTGTGTGTGTGTG